CCGTGATGCCATTTGTTGTGAGATGGTCCACAACATTTTCTACGCTATATTGGAATCCCATATAGTTAGTGTTTGATAGCCTACCCGTCATGGCTATTGTAATCAAAAGATTACTTTCGCCGCCTGGCCAAGTTTCATACCCATGAGTTTGTATGACAACTTCTACATGATTATGGAAGTCCTCAATACTTAGAACCATATCAGGGAACATGTAGACTAGCTGCATTCCTGCAGAGAGGTCGACTTCCATAGTTCTAATGATTTGTCAACTATCTTCCCATCTAGTGTCCCGAAGGACAACTAGAGCATTTGTTCCCGCACTTCTCCGGTGGAGTGCATGTAGCCTGATCATGAATATTCCTAGGTGAATATGCTGGAGCCCTGAAGTTCTCAAGTTCTGGTAGCTTTCTTGGTTACACAGCCGAAGGTTAACTTGATTTTCTCCAACACATAGGATTCTTTGCTCAGAGTAGTGTTCATAGACTTTGTGTCTTGTAGTACTTCTATTGTTTGAATAAAGTACTTCTGCTGGAACAAGATTTGCCCTTCTCTCTCTTGATATTTCAAGTTGTCTTTCTGGATCTACAACAGACTCCAAGGTGCGATTATAGCTGTTTCTTCCAAATACTCTTCTTGTTGCCCTAGCTGGTTGATATCTGTTTCGGGTCATTTGTCGATAACCACGAATTTGATCTTCTTGAGTTGGGAGTTCTGTTTGAGTTTGTGTGGAACTCCTGTTGAGGATGCTAGGCCTTCTGAAAGTCATTTCTTTGATTCTTTCCCAAACTGTTCTTTAAAGATTTTGTTAGGATCTTCAAAGACTTAGATTTGCCCGTTACTTTTCTTTACTGGAAGTTTCCCACTAATAGAGAAATTATCAAGTCTTCTGGTTAAGCTTGATATTGAGTCTTCAAGATCTGCTGGCTGAGTATTTTGTTTGATAACAGTTTGAACTTCTTGTTTGAGCTTGTCAAACTTTTCTTTAATCTCAATCAGTTTCTGACTTTGCTTAGTTGCTATGTAAAGCAAGGTGTTGTTTTGTTTTATAACAACCTTTACTTGGCTAACTAGAGCTTCTTTGTAGTCGGTTGTTTTTGCAAAACCAACTGCTGGTGATTCAAAGTCTTCAGTGGCTTGTATGGCTTCCTGATACTCAGTAGTTGCCTTTTGATTGGCAATACTCATCCGGTGATGAGCCTCTTGACTTCGTGAAGAAGATTTTCAACCTTCTGGGTTTTATGATTGAGTTCTTCTGTTAGTCTGAGGGCTTCTTTCTCAACTAATTTTGGTTGCTCAGCTATTTCTTGAACAAGGCTGAGGACTTCTCTTTTTGTGAGTGGTTTAGATTGATGGATCTCAGTTGAGATTTATTGAAAGCTTTTTCTGGTTTTACTCTGAGTTTTTCTTAATAACTCCTCACAGGATTCAAGCTTCTCTTGACAACTTTGGACTTTTGACTCAAGATCTTTTTGTTTTTCAGAAATACTTTTAAAATTCTTAAGTGCTACTTTAGAAAAGAGATTTAAACGATTATAAATACAAGCTAAATTATTGGCTAAATCGGTAGTTGTAGGTTTAGAACTATTTTCTTTAAAAATGATATACTCAAGATCCACAGTTCGTGAATTATCGTACCAATTTTGTATCTCTTGCTCAAAGCGATCGGACATAACATAAAAACTTCAAAGGTTTATATTTACAAACTTGTTTTAGGACTCACCAAACGGTTAACTTCAAACACTTACCGACTCTTTTGGTACTTTTTAATAGAAGCAATTGCGTTGTCTTTTATCTAAAAACAAGGGTTTTTATGAAGTTTTTAACAGAAATGTTACCGTAGAAATACAAGAAATTGATAAAATAATACCTTTACTGTTTTTCCTGAGGTATAGCTTAGGAGTTTAGCCTTCCATAGAGCTAAGAACGTTTTGATTCAAAGCTCTGATACCAAGATAAAAATTACGTTGCCAGCAATTTTTTATCTTGTACTAAAGCTCAAAAACTAAAACTTTAAAGTACACACCTTTTTATTAAAATACTGCGGAAGCTTTGTTACAATGGTGGTGGTGGTGATTGTAGGTGAATGAATTCGATGATCCCAAACTTAGAACTTATGCCCTTATATAGATGGGCTTACAAACTATTGGACAAGAATAAAAACGTAAGCGATGATGTTTAAACAAGGGCCATTATTTAATTTGTTACATGTGGCCGACAATCTTGATAATTATAAAGATACTTTTAACAAGTGGTGGGGACTTCTTGAAGATTTCTGAACATCCAAACAACCCAACTTTTGAAAACTCGTGATATGTGAAATAATTTCACATACGGGCCCTTCTAGCTTTTGGATAAAGGTATGGATCCATGGGACGATTCAATTTTATCGTTTTTAGACAATAATCATCCCACCCGGGGTCCACAATAAAAATTGAATCGTCATCACGGTTGTCACTATCTTCTAGAAATCCTTTGCTGTTGTAGCGGCATTTGTTTTCTTTTTGGTTATTGTCTTGGACTTCCATGGGCTTAGATATTATTGCGGCCCAATCGTTGTGCGAGGGCTTCCAGTTCGATGAGGATTCTTCGGGCTTCTTTGTTTTGGATTCGAACATCTTCCTTTTGGTCAGACCAATGGTTGTCTCTTGTTGTTTTTCCAAAGCAGACTTGAGCTTTGCACTGTATGATTGCTTGTAAATTTCGCATTGCTTTGATCGCTTCTTTTGCTGCTGATAATTCGATATCTTGGGCGACTGATCTCCATGCATCAGATTTATCCATTCTGATTGGGGTTTGATTGGCTCTAAGCTGGTATTGTCTGTACATTGCTCCTGGTTCTTCCAGTGTGAAGATTGTTTTAGTAAAGATTCTTGGGAGTGGTTGAAAGTCTTCATGATTTCTTCGCAAGTAATCTTCATATTCTTCTGAGAGGCAGAAGGGGATTGTAGAACTTCCTTCACTGAGTAAAGGGCTGCTGCTGCTAACCGTTTCATTTCTCCTGTGTATTTTGCAAAACAAAGGTTAACAAGTCTTGAGAGAGAATCAGCTAGTGTATTATGTTTCCCTTCTATATGCTCTATGTTAATCTTGACGCCTGTTCCTGTGACTGCATCTGCAAACTTTATCCACCTGACCCTTGAGGATTTGTTGCTATTAGCTTTGTTGTAAAAGCTAATAATGGCTTGGCAATCTGTCCTTAAAGTGATTTCTTGTTTATCAAGGTAGTAGATTTTTAGTTTCTCCAGAGTGTTGATGCAGGCATTGATTTCAGCATCAATTGTGGATTGGGTTGTTGAGAACTTGCCACTTGCATATGCACAAATCTTTTCTGAGCTTCTTGGTCCTTCCTTTTTGTTCTTCCATTTGACTATACCTCCCCATCCTTCCATACATCCGTCTGTTTCTAGGATGATATAAGCATCTTCAGGTGGTATCTCAAGGTCTGGGAGATTCTGAACTTGCATCTTGATCCTTTTTATTAACTCATAATCAGAGGGCTTCAATCTTTTGTCTCCATGAGCATTTGTCTTTTCGTACAGTGGCCTTAATAGTATCCCAAGTTTTGGGATATGATTACGAGCATAGTTAAGGATTCCTAAGAATGACCTTAACCCCTTCTTTGTCTTCAATTCTTCTTCGTTGAAGTTCACAATCTTCTTTATGATGTGCGGTTGCAACCTTATTGTTCCTTCTCCTACGACTACTCCCAGAAAATCTATTGTTGGGACTGCTATCTTCATCTTTGTTGGAGATAGGACTAGGCCATTATCCTCACATATTTGCAACATCTTTTCCAAGTGCTTTGCATGTTCTTTTTCGTTTTTTGAGAAAACCAGTATATCATCAATATATACTGCGATAAATGATTCTGTTCCTCTGAAGCATTTATCCATTTTTCTTTGGAACACTGCTGGGGCATTCTTCAAACCAAATGGCATAACTAGCCATTCATAAAGTCCTCCAGGTACTAAGAATGTTGTCCATGGTATTGATTCTTCATCCATGGCGACTTGATGGAACCCTGATTTGAGATCAAATTTTGAGAATATTTTTGCACCTCCTATTCTCTTGATGATCGTATTTATGCCTGGTAAGGAGTATTGGTCCTTGTATGTGTTGTCATTCAAGGATTTATAATTAAAAACCATTCTTTCTTTCCCTTTGACCTCCTTTCCAGTTACAGGATCAATTGTTGTTCCTGAGTTTACGATCATTGCCATCGTTCTGTGTCTGCTTTTGCTTGGTCGAATAGCACCAATCTTGAGTAAACTATCAACATGTATTCTGAATGAATCTTCCATTGCTGGTGTCACATGTTTTAGTGGTCGATCTTCAATTGTAATGTCTGGATTTATAATATCCAGTTTACAAAGCTCACCATTCTTCTTCCAATGCTTTAAAGGTTCTTCTCCGATGTATCCTTGGAGCTTTAACCTATCAATGACAGGTTTAAACCGTTCTAGGAATGCATTGTTACCTTCTTGGTTGAAATAAATAGATTCATTTATTTCAAAGAAATCTTCTTCACTAATTTCAAGCTCAGTGATGGCAACTTCAGCAACCTCAGATTGCTCTGAAGTTTTGATCTTGGTAACCTTCTTATAAATAGTTATCTCATCACCTTCTATACGAATTCCTCCTTTCATGGACCTTAGGAAGTTGGTACCTATCAGCATTTCAATGCCATTGCTGCCATGCATATCAAATGCATATATAAGGGGAATTTTGAACTTGTTTCCCTCGATGAGAAAATAGCCTTGCTTTATTTTGTGAGTTGCCTGCTGTCTTGAATTTAAACCATTAAAGAAAACACTGTGGTTTAAAGGTTCAAGTGCTTCTTCTGGAATAACCTTCTTGTTTATGCAGCATGCTGATGCTCCTGTGTCTATTATTGCGCCGATCCCAAATGCTGGGCAATTAGGGATATCAAACTCAACTTTTACGTTGTAAAGTGAGTTAGTTATCTTCCTAACTTTTGGGTTTGATGTAGCATTTTCAGATTAATGAATCTCTGCTTCCATGAAGGGCCTTGCTACATGAAGTTCGCTTAACGGTGGGAATTCTTCTTTAGGGAATTGAGGCTTTTCCCTTTCTTCCTTCCTTTCTTGTAGTTGCTCCTTCAGCCTTCTTATTTCTTCGTTCTTTTGTTCTTCAAGCCTTACTTGTTCAGCTTTAAGCTGATCGATTATCTTAAGAGTATCTGTGAGATCTTTTGTTAGCAAGCCTTTTTCAAGCTGCCATGCTTCCTCTCTCTTTTGTATTTCTGCCTTGGTCTCATAAAACTCTTTGGCTTGATCCTTAATCATCTGCTGCATTTGCTCCGTCTTCTCTTTCAAAAGTTCTTTGAGAAGCTTTATTTCCCTATTGGTAAAGTCACTTTCTTCTTCCGGCTTAATCTGCTGTTTTTTCTTAACGTTAACTGTTTTGCCAAGATAATTTTTGGCGCAAAGAGCACATGTTGTGAGTTGGCAATTGGGACAGTTAAGTCTTGACACGTCTGTGGTTAGTATTCCACATTAATAACAGATCGTGTAATTTGTGACTGTGTTTTCCTTCCAATCATGCTCACAGTTTTTACTTTGAGCTGGCAATTCTTTGCTTGGTTTCCACGATCCTACGGATTGAACCATATCTGCTATTTTTGTTGGTGGTCCTGGATGGAACATGAAAGCATAATGACTATGTTGGATATCCTCTCTTTCATCTTCGCTGCTACTTTCATTATCTTCATGTGTTATTGTGAAAGCTGCTTCTTTAAATGGAGTATCTTGGACCATAACACTGATGCTTTGATGGGTATCGCCTTCTCCTTCTGATATACTATAGACAATGGTGTCATCAAAGTCTGCTGAGACAATGTCCCAGTTGTCATCAAGATCCAGTTCTTGATAGACAGCTGATCTTGCAATGTTTCCTTGCTTGCTTTTGCAATCTTTTGCGAAATGCCCTTCCTTTCCACAAATAAAGCATTTGCATTTCTTGACTCGTCCTCTGTCATCTTTGTACTTTCTTTTGAATGGCTTTACATGAGAACCATGTGGCTTTCCTTTGTAAGTCTTCGACTTCCTCATTCCATACTTTTTCCTGTTGTTTTTGTAATAACCAGGAATTGGTATGGCTGAACAAAGAGATAAATCTCTAAGCTCTTTGGCAAGCACATCATCTTTGCACATTTCTGAGATGAAAGTATGAGTGAATTTGATTGCAGGCAGAACTCCTGAACTTAGACCAGGGTACCTGGCTTTAAATGATTCTTCAACTTTCTTGGATAGAGAAGGTGGAAGTTTAGCAAAAAGTTTTTCTGTTGTTGAGGGGAAGTACAGCCTTCCAGACTTTATTGCTAACTGCCTGAAATCCTCCAAGAATGTCCACAAGTTCTTGGTTTCTTCACAAGTTATTCTGTCTAGATCTCTGTAGGCTCTGTCTTGTTCATCAGTTGAGCCTCGGTATGGATCTTCTAACAATATTAACTGCCTAACTTGTGATGTTATATTCTGTGGTTCATCTGCGATTGCTTCAAGGGCAGCATATACATCTGGGTATGCCGTTCGCCATTGTTGCCACATTAACTTTTCGCTTTCTCCAAGAAGATTTTCAACAAAGGCTAATTTTGCTTTGTTGTCAGTCCATGTTTGGCTATTGAGCCTATTGATTGTTATAGACTCCCATCGTGCTATTACATCTGACCATAAGCCTGGATCTGCTGGTAGAACAAGCATTACACCTGATTCCGTCCATGCTGGTGGCAGAGTCCACTGTGAATTATGATATTCACCATATCCTCCATTAAAAATATTGCCTTTTCCTTGAGGGTAACCAAACTGGTAGTTTGGTCTATAAATTGGCTGTGGATTTTGCCGTGCTGGTGGGTAGACAGCTGGTCCTAATATTGCATCATCTGGAGGTTGATAGCTTGCACCAGATTCTGCGTCATTTGCTGTTGAAAAGCATGTTCTTCGTGTTTTTTGACCATTTGTGCTGCCATTTGTTTAAAGTTGCGAAATTTTGGGTATGGCAGATTGTCATCATCTTCTTTGGAAAGATGAAGAATTGTATGGTCCTCACCATGCTTCGCTGCGAATGGGTTTTCCCATTCAGACTCTGATCTTTGTGTGGCGAGTTGGTCATCCCATTGTGGCAAATATTCATCAAGAAAATCTTGTTGGTTTTTTGAAAATTCTTCTAGTAGGACAAGGATCTTTCCACCACTTTCTTTCATCATCATCCCAATCACTTGTTTTGTCCATAATTGTCACTTTTCCTGGGGTAATTTCATCATCTAGGAATCCATCTCCCCAGCCAGTTGCTGCAATTTCTTCTATTGAAGTTGTGCTTACTGAGGTATCGTACTTGACATAATAGTCCCATTTTCCAGATGGTTCACCAAGAGTTGACCATTTATGTTTTGATCGTCTTGGCTTATTGGAACGTCTTGCTGTGTTCAGTGGCTCATTCTCCAAGATCCTTGCTTCATCCAGACATTCTTCACAGAAACATATATCACAGGGGATATGTTTTGTCTGAGGTGTTTGAAAACATACTCCTATAAAATGCTCTTCATCTTCGTCCAAATGATCGTTACCTAATACTTCTCGATCATTCTGGTCAACAGAGTATCTTGCTGGTTGGGGGGTTCGGCGATATCTTTCAAATTGGAGACTTAATGATCTGTTAAGCCTTTCATGTACCGCTACTCTTGATGGTACACTTACTGATGTTTGCTCAGATGGCTTTAGATTCCAGCTCATTCCTTCAAGCTCTTCTATACTCCTTCTTTCACCAGAAATTGCCGTGATGCCATTTGTTATGAGATGGTCCACAACATTTTCTACACTATATTGGAATCCCATATAGCTAGTGTTTGATAGCCTACCCGTCATGGCTATTGTAATCAAAAGATTACTTTTGCCGCCTTGCCAAGTTTCATACCCATGAGTTTGTATGACAACTTCTACATGATTATGGAAGTCCTCAATACTTAGAACCATATCAGGGAACATGTAGACTAGCTGCGTTCCTGCAGAGAGGTCGACTTCCATAGTTCCAATGATTTGTCGACTATCTTCCCATCTAGTGTCCCGAAGGACAACTAGAGCATTTGTTCCCGCACTTCTCCGGTGGAGTGCATGTAGCCTGATCATGAATATTCCTAGGTGAATATGCTGGAGCCCTGAAGTTCTCAAGTTCTGGTAGCTTTCTTGGTTACACAGCCGAAGGTTAACTTGATTTTCTCCAACACATAGGATTCTTTGCTCAGAGTAGTGTTCATAGACTCTGTGTCTTGTAGTACTTCTATTGTTTGAATAAAGTACTTCTGCTGGAACAAGATTTGCCCTTCTCTCGCTTGATATTTCAAGTTGTCTTTCTGGATCTACAATAGACTCCAAGGTGCGATTATAGCTGTTTCTTCCAAATACTCTTCTTGTTGCCCTAGCTGCTTGATATCTGTTTCGGGTCATTTGTCGATAACCATGAATTTGATCTTCTTGAGTTGGGAGTTCTGTTTGAGTTTGTGTGGAACTCCTGTTGAGGATGCTAGGCCTTCTGAAAGTCATTTCTTTGATTCTTTCCCAAACTGTTCTTTAAAGATTTTGTTAGGATCTTCAAAGACGTAGATTTGCCCGTTACTTTTCTTCAATCTCAATCAGTTTTTGACTTTGCTTAGTTGCTAAGTAAAGCAAGGTGTTGTTTTGTTTTATAACAGCCTTTACTTGGCTAACTAGAGCTTCTTTGTAGTCGGTTGTTTTTGCAAAACCAACTGCTGGTGATTCAAAGTCTTCAGTGGCTTGTATGGCTTCCTGATACTCAGTAGTTGCCTTTTGATTGGCAATACTCATCCGGTGATGAGCCTCTTGACTTCGTGAAGAAGATTTTCAACCTTCTGGGTTTTATGATTTCGTTCTTCTGTTAGTCTGATGGCTTCTTTCTCAACTAATTTTGGTTGCTCATCTATTTCTTGAACAAGGCTCAGGACTTCTCTTTTTGTGAGTGGTTTAGATTGATGGATCTCAGTTGAGATTTGTTGAAAGCTTTTTCTGGTTTCACTCTGAGTTTTTCTTAATAACTCCTCACAGGATTCAAGCTTCTCTTGACAACTTTAGACTTTTGACTCAAGATCTTTTTGTTTTTCAGAAATACTTTTAAAATTCTTAAGTGCTACTTTAGAAAAGAGATTTAAACGATTATAAATACAAGCTAAATTATTGGCTAAATCGGTAGTTGTAGGTTTAGAACTATTTTCTTTAAAAATGATATACTCAAGATCCACAGTTCGTGAATTATCGTACCAATTTTGTATCTCTTGCTCAAAGCGATCGGACATAACATAAAAACTTCAAAGGTTTATATTTACAAACTTGTTTTAGGACTCACCAAACGGTTAACTTCAAACACTTACCGACTCTTTCGGTACTTTTTAATAGAAGCAATTGCGCTGTCTTTTATCTAAAAACAAGGGTTTTTATGAAGTTTTTAACAGAAATATTACCGTAGAAATACAAGAAATTGATAAAATAATACATTTACTGTTTTTCCTGAATATAGCTTAGGAGTTTAGCCTTCCATAGAGCTAAGAACGTTTTGATTCAAAGCTCTGATACCAAGATAAAAATTACGTTGCCAGGAATTTTTTATCTTATACTAAAGCTCAAAAACTAAAACTTTAAAGTACACACCTTTTTATTAAAATACTGCGGAAGCTTTGTTACAATGGTGGTGGTGGTGATTGTAGGTGAATGAAATTCGATGATCCCAAACTTAGAACTTATGCCCTTATATAGATGGGCTTACAAACTATTGGACAAGAATAAAAACGTAAGCGATGACGTTTAAACAAGGGCCATTATTTAATTTGTTACATGTGGCCGACAATCTTGATAATTATAAAGATACTTTTAACAAGTGGTGGGGTCCACTGTGAATTATGATATTCACCATATCCTCCATTAAAAATATTGCCTTTTCCTGGAGGGTAACCAAACTGGTAGTCTGGTCTATAAATTGGCTGTGGATTTTGCAATTTCTTCTATTGAAGTTGTGCTTACTGAGGTATCGTACTTGACATAATAGTCCCATTTTCCAGATGGTGAAATTACCCCAGGAAAAGTGACAATTATGGACAAAACAAGTGACTGGGATGATGATGAAAGAAGTGGTGGAAAGATCCTTTTCCTACGAGAAGAATTTTCAAAAAACCAACAAGATTTTCTTGATGAATATTTGCCACAATGGGATGACCAACTCGCCACACAAAGATCAGAGTCTGAATGGGAAAACCATTCGCAGCGAAGCATGGTGAGGACCATACAATTCTTCATCTTTCCAAAGAAGATGATGACAATCTGCCATACCCAAAATTTCGCAACTTTAAACAAATGGAAGCACAAATGGTCAAAAAACACGAAGAACATGCTTTTCCAACAGCAAATGACGCAGAATCTGGTGCAAGCTATCAACCTCCAGATGATGCAATATTAGGACCAGCTGTCTACCCTCCAGGACGGCAAAATCCACAACCAATTTATAGACCAGACTACCAGTTTGGTTACCCTCAAGGAAAAGGCAATTTTTTTAATGGAGGATATGGTGAATATAATAATTCACAGTGGACTCTGCCACCAACATGGACGGAATCAGGTGTAATGCTTGTTCTACCAGCAGATCCAGTCTTATGGTCAAATGTAATAGCACGATGGGAGTCTATAACAATCAATAGGCTCAATAGCCAAACATGGACTGACAACAAAGCAAAATTAGCCTTTGTTGAAAATCTTCTTGGAGAAAGCGAAAAGTTAATGTGGCAACAATGGCGAACGACATACCCAGATGTATATGCTGCCCTTGAAGCAATCGCAGATGAACCACAGAATATAACATCACAAGTTAGGCAGTTAATATTGTTAGAAGATCCATACCGAGGCTCAACTGATGAACAAGACAGAGCCTACAGAGATCTAGACAGAATAACTTGTGAAGAAACCAAGAACTTGTGGACATTCTTGGAGGATTTCAGGCAGTTAGCAATAAAGTCTGGAAGGCTGTACTTCCCCTCAACAACAGAAAAACTTTTTGCTAAACTTCCACCTTCTCTATCCAAGAAAGTTGAAGAATCATTTAAAGCCAGGTACCCTGGTCTAAGTTCAGGAGTTCTGCCTGCAATCAAATTCACTCATACTTTCATCTCAGAAATGTGCAAAGATGCTGTGCTTGCCAAAGAGCTTAGAGATTTATCTCTTTGTTCAGCCATACCAATTCCTGGTTATTACAAAAACAACAGGAAAAAGTATGGAATGAGGAAGTCGAAGACTTACAAAGGAAAGCCACATGGTTCTCATGTAAAGCCATTCAAAAGAAAGTACAAAGATGACAGAGGACGAGTCAAGAAATGCAAATGCTTTATTTGTGGAAAGGAAGGGCATTTCGCAAAAGATTGCAAAAGCAAGCAAGGAAACATTGCACGATCAGCTGTCTATCAAGAACTGGATCTTGATGACAACTGGGACATTGTCTCAGCAGACTTTGATGACACCATTGTCTATAGTATATCAGAAGGAGAAGGCGATACCCATCAAAGCATCAGTGTTATGGTCCAAGATACTCCATTTAAAGAAGCAGCTTTCACAATAACACATGAAGATAATGAAAGTAGCAGCGAAGATGAAAGAGAGGACATCCAACATAGTCATAATGCTTTCATGTTCCATCTAGGACCACCAACAAAAATAGCAGATATGGTTCAATCCGTAGGATCGTGGAAACCAAGCAAAGAATTGCCAGCTCAAAGTAAAAACTGTGAGCATGATTGGAAGGAAAAAACAGTCACAAATTACACGATCTGTTATTACTGTGGAATACTAACCACAGACGTGTCAAGACTTAACTGTCCCAATTGCCAACTCACAACATGTGCTCTTTGCGCCAAAAATTATCTTGGCAAAACAGTTAACGTTAAGAAAATACAGCAGATTAAGCCGGAAGAAGAAAGTGACTTTACCAATAGGGAAATAAAGCTTCTCAAAGAACTTTTGAAAGAGAAGACGGAGCAAATGCAGCAGATGATTAAGGATCAAGCCAAAGAGTTTTATGAGACCAAGGC